CGTGTGCATAGCAGAACCTGCTCTCCCCCCTGCCACACACCACCAGACGAGCTGCCAGCTCCGTTCCATGCCCCACCCCACCTCAGCTGACCAGTACCTACCCCAGCCCCTCACTGCAGGGGCTTCGATCTGCCCCACCCCCACGCTCCCTTCCCTCCTCTCCACCCCTTCCCCTGCAACAGACTTACCAGCTGGATACAGTTTTCAAAGGTGCTTGGCTGCATATTGGCAATCAGATCGGTACTGGCCAATATGGCTCCTTAATAATCAGCCATTGATACTGGCCCAAAAGATCTTTATCAGTGCACCCCTAACTGGCACCACAAGAAATAGGGATAATGCATCAGCACTGAAATGGTACCAAAAGCCGTTGTATGCCCTCGCTGCTCTAAAATAGAGAAATCAGTAGAACAAAGAGAAGATATAAAAGCACAAGAATGGAGTCTCTCTTTTTGAATCTGCTATGAAACTGGCAGCTATGAAGCAGAGCTTCAGCTTCTGGAAGAGTTATTCAGAGATATCTCTGAGGATTTCTTCAAGATCTTCCGTATTGACTTTTACATATGTGGGAAAGGCCAGAGGAGGCCAATCAAAGCCTGATACTTTTTGTGATGATTTAACAGTTAACATTGCTTTACTTTGAACAGGTAAAAGGTTCAATTAAATAAGAAACCAGCCAGGATCCTGCAATAAAATGAACACATTCAAAGATGTTCCAAATCATACTGGGTTTATCACCAATGTTCACTATTTATTAAAATGAAACTGGCTCATTTGACTGCATTTGCAGAAGTCTAATATTACTAATTTGTTTAGAAAATCAAATTGCATATTTAAATTTACTATTTTCCATTATAGTTCACCATAACTCCTGTGTAGCACTGTTCGCAAATCATCAGTCATAAAGATTCTGAATTTAAAAACTATTTAAGAATTCTTTTAATAATGTACAAGCCAAAGCCGAATGCAACTAACTCCCCCTTAGTATTACTAGCCATCAGGAATGGTAATTGCTGAAAGCTTACTGTGAAACATTAAAGTCTGTAAACACTGAAGCCTGTAATGCAACTGCTACATTAATTAAAAACTGTTAATATTTGGCAATATAACTTGAACACAACAAATACCTCATAATTTTAGTTTAACAATAAACAATATAGGACAATATACTTAAGATATTACTAACCATCTTGTGGATTAGAACATTTTAACGAACAGGTCTGTAATAACTTCAACAACAGTTGCAGGCTTTTATCAGCTTTCAGTGTTGGGATATAAACATTAGTGCCAAGTTTCAGCAAGACATCCAGAAGAGGGTACAAGAAAGCCTTTAATTCAATCCATTTTGTGTTGATTTTTTCACTACACAAAAACAAAAATTAAGAAGAGAATCATCTACTGAATGTATATTTACAGTGCCCAAGTCAAACTGGTAAGTCACCTTGACTCCTTTGAAAATTTTACCAAGTGACAAGTGCTAAGGCTAAGACTAACATTTTGTTTCAAAGCCCACTGAAGTCAAAAACACCCTTCCCACTGATTTCAGTTAGATCCAAACCAAGCCCAAAAGAAAAAAAAAATTGATGGGAAAATTAAATTTATAAAACTTACCTGTGTTTATTCTTCATTTCCTCTACATCTGCAGCCAGCAGAATCATTGTAGCAACAAGCTTAGCTTCAAACCAGTCAGGCATAAAGCAACTTTCCCCTGATTAAAGATAATTTAAAGTTTCCATGGTATTTAAAAAAAACCTCAGTATGGTAATTCTCTTTAACTTTTAATGTTGTTTATTTACAATCCTATTAGCAGAAGGTAATGGTATATAAATGATTAATGGATTCAATTACTAAATGTCAGGCCAAAGATTTGTAACAAGCTTTGAATTCTTATATATAAATTTAAACTAGCTGAATTTTCTTCTTCTATTATAAAAGTGCTGAATCTACAGGTACTTGTCTTAAAAATAGGTTATATACTTCATCTTTTAATAATTTGCTTTATTTAAGTACATTTAAAAAATAATGCTGAGATTTTTCAGAGCAGCTTCACACACTTGGGAGGTATGTAAATCCTGTTGAAAAATTCAGCTCCCTTAAACAGAAATACAGAAATCCAAATATTTTACAAACTGTTTGCTACAAAAGAGTCTAAGAGCTATAATTTGGGATGAGTTTTGGATTTCCAACTCTGGGGATATAAAGACCTGCTGTGGAGTTTCAGTACAGAAGCAGTTACATCCCTGTAATTCTTAAAAGTATAATTTTCTCAACAAGCTATTTATAAAATGTGGGTAGGTCAAGTAAACTGATAACTTTTTTATTTTTATAATAAGAAGTTTGTTTGTTCATCTGACCTAGAGCTCTAAAGCAATAGTTAAATACACATTTCAGAAGATGGGGAGGTTCTGCCAAACTTGTTCTTAGCAAAAAGTGTATCTTGGAAATTTCCAAATGAATTTGGTAACAATTTTAGAGTCTCTAATTCAGGGCTGTCCAATTGGCAGTTCACAAAGAGTTAATTTGGGGCTGCAGGTTCCCACCCAGCCACTGCTCCTACCCCTCACTCCAGCTGCAGGTCTCCATGCTCCTCCTCCCTCTAGCTTCCACTTCTTGTCCTTGCCTGAGAGTATAGGGTGACAGTGCAGCCCACAGGGCCCCCACACACCATGGTGCAGCCAGGAAGGTGAGGTGAGGCCAGGGCACCCACATGTTGCAGTGCAGTGGGGGGCAGAGGGGCTTGCATATCGCAGTGTAGTGGGGGGGGCGCACAGCTGTTCAGGGGCAGGGAGGGGGAAGGAGGAGCGATATCCTGCACTGGTATGACCTGTGCAGCATGCATCCCCCACACACTTAGTAATTCAACAGTCTGCTCTAATTATCATGAGTGAAATGAGATATTTTGGAGCATCTCCAATTATAAAAGATTTTAGAAAAATACTTGTCTAATAATACAATCTTATTCTGATGTACACACCAGTACTAAAATCTGACACACACTTCTTATTCTCTAGAGGGATAAATTTAACATGTCTGACTTCTGACATTTCACATTTATAAACCTCATGTAGCAGCATGCATTTTATCAACATGATAGGTCTCACACAATAGTCAAAGATGCACAAAGAGATAAATTTGAAAGAAAATGACTAAAATAAATTCAGAATATCTGAAATAATGGCAATGTAAGAGAGAAGACTCTACATGCCTTTTGGATTACAAACATTTCAACTTTACCCACTGAATAAGCTGAAGACTAGGCTCCAAAAATTATTGTGAACTTCCCTCTGATACTTTCAGGTTTAACATGTGATTTGCTTAATTGCACAATAGCACTGATCCCATGAATAAGATAGTAATATCCAGTTATCTGCATATCAGGTGAGTACACATGTACGCTTTGGTCTCACTATCTACCTTGTAAAATAACTGTACTCAACTTAACTGCATAATTGATTAAATAGACGAGGAGCTGTCAATATCAAGGCTTCTAAAACAGCCTTGAAATAACCAGGTCCCATCAATTTCAAGGTTGTTACAGACATAAGGCAGCAAGAAACAAAGAGACTTAAAGAAGCATGGAAAGCAGGCTATTTCTTTAGCTAATGAGCATTGTTTACACTGAGTTCAGGTAAGCACACAGCCTTTTCCAGGCTATGCTCTTAAACGGAGTACTGTAACTTTCAAGAAAGATGCACAGAAAGCTTCCGACTAAAAATACAGTGCATCTGTATATCCATAAGCACGTTAGTTCCAGGGTAGCCAGGGTAGACAAGGTTCTTTGGGTAATAACTTCCAGGGTGTTTATTATACAAGTTTTGTTGATAAAGACTGGATTTTTTTTAAAAAACAGGCAACCTAGAATCGCAGGGTTGGAAGGACCTCAGAGATCACCTGTATGAATGCAGGAATGCGACTCCTAAAGCAACCTTATCCAATGCTTAACCAAACTCTTCTTAAAAACCTCCAATGAAGAAGATTTTACAACTTCCTCAGGCAGTCTTACTAGTCTATTCCACTGCAAATACTATTTACTTGAACAACTTAACTATCTCCCCTGAAAAGTGGGCTGGAGAAAGGGGGGGGGAGAGGGGGGAATTACACAAAACACCTAGCAATACGGCAATATTAAAACGTAAAGCAAGGACAAGAATAAGTGCAGTTACAATTTTTTTTCTTCAAATGTTATTTTTTTATTCATTTGTTCTTAAAAAACATTGCATTTAATATGCATTAAAAAAGAATACTAAAACCTGGCTGGGATGCGGAGTTTAACCAAATAAACTCTGTAGCAAAAACTTTCATCCTAGTTGCACGATTTCTGAATAAGTGATTTCATAACCTTAATATTCTGACACTAGACTCTGCACTTAAGATACATAATTCATAAATATTATCTGGACTTACTTTCAGATGGTGGTGCCTTAAGGTAATCTTCAACAAGAGTAAGTACATATGTACTTAATGATGATCTCTCTTGATGCTCAAGATCACATTTTATGGACTTTCTGAAGTGGCCATCATTAGTGCACAGCCAACTACAAAGCTAAATAAAACAAATGCATTACTATTTATAAACATATCTACAAGTTTTCACTTTGGCTGCATGCATACATTCAAATTATCTGGGAGAATTCTCCGAGGTTTGTTCTCCTGGTAGAGCAACTTACCCAGAATGGCGTGTACACATATTTGAATGCTGAGGCCCTGATGAGTAGAAAGCCTGTAATGCTGACACTGTGCTGCTGGGGTGGCAGTGGCACTGTCCACACATCTGTGTACTCTGCAAACTTCCTTAGTCTGCCTGGCAACAGATGGGAGCAGGGCATATGGGGAAGTTCTGGTTGGCTGCCCCAGACTCCTCATGGTCAACCTGTGGGGACTGTTCTTCTCTCTACTGGAACAAGAGTCCAGCAAGCGACAGACTCTCTCTCAAAAAGAGAGGGCAGATGCTGGAGGACTGTTGTCTTCTGAGAGAAGCCACTGCATATACAGACATTTGTTCTCCCCAGTTCTTCTGGGAGTGATTTAACTCTGGTTATCCCCAGGTCATTTTTCTCCTGTACCAGACATTTTTAATTTGGAGACAAAACCTGAATATCTGTGGGTTCTCCTTGGAGAGCGGCAACTTTTTATCAGTACAGAAAAGCATCTACCCATGAGCAAACAATCTGGCTGCTAAAAGTTGCATTGGTCACAGATGACACTTTTCACTAATAGTTATACAAAAATGTGTAACGTAGACCTGCCACTACATACATAACAATACATTAAACTGCTTGCAACTACACAATGGATGTTAGTTCTCTAAAAAAAAAGTTTTATAAACAGGGGCAAATCCAGAAGGGGTGCAGTCATGAACGGTGCATGATCCCGGCAACAGCTGCGCCGGTGGGAGGGTGGCAGCAGAAGCCCGGCGTCAGCAAACAAGGAGTTCCTGGAGACACTTTCAGCAGCTTTGGCCGCAGCCAGGGGCAATCATGGACTGCCTGCAGACACTGATGGCACTGCCATTGGCAGGGTGGTGAGCGGCGACTGACTGCAGGCACTGCTGACACTGTCAGCAGCACCTTTTTGCAAGGGGTACACAGCCACGTGCACCTATGCGTTGCCCCTGGGTGCAGTGGTGCACCTGCAACCCTCTTTTCTGACCACATGGCAGAAGCAGCATCTGGGGACCTTTTTAAGTCCCCAAAGATAAGAATTCTCCTCCTTTTCCTCCCAGTGTTCAGAAGCATGTACCTTGCCCTCCCCCCTGCCAGCTGCTGCAATTGTCCCAGCAGCAAGGGGAGCTCCAGAGCTGCTCCAGCTGGAATGCGTGAGGGCTGGCCTCAGCATGGGACAGCAGCTACAGTTTCCTCATCCCTGCTTGGTTTCCCTAGTGGAGGGAAGAGAGGTTCCACACCATCCAGCCCCGAAACAAACACAGGGAGGGGGAACCCACCTGCCACCAATGTCCCAGGCTGAGCAGAGCCCAGCTCACAGGTCAGCTGAAATAGCTTTGGAGTGCCCAAACTCTCCAGGACAGTTGGGATGACAGCAGCAGGCAGGGGAAAGGGATGGGGGGGAATTCTTATCTATCCTGAGGACTTAGAAGTCCCCAGCTGCTAGTCCCATAGCGTGGTCTGCACACTGTGCTGCAAGGAGGGGCTTGGGAGAACTGAGAGGAGGCTGGGGAAGGGGTTGCACCCATCACTGCAGCACCAGTCACTGCTCCTTCATCTCCCTTCATAAAATCCTGGATCCACTTCTGTGTATGAACATTAAGTTCATTTGCTTTCATTTCTATATATCTTTATCTTTTTGTGTATATGTATAATTTCCTTTAAAAAGCCCATGCCTATTTAAGCTTTTATACATCACAAATTATCCATTATTATAAATATTATCCATTATTATTAATTAATGCACCTGTTATGCCTCTGTAAACAGACACGTACT